CAAAAAAGGTGATATATACAGTTATATAAACAAATACATAGTTTTAAAAAATAAAGTCTTTAAAGAAACAGTAAAATTAATATAAAAAATAAGCCATGTGAAGATGAATATTACACAGAGAATCTGGATTGTGTTGTCTTTAGGATTCTTAACTGCAGAGAGATATTTGATTGCAAAGGAAGCTGAGTTAAACCAATATGTATACTTTAAAGACACCTTAACTTCAAAATTTGGATGTAAGGATATTTTGCTTTGGAAAGGAGTCTCTGCTTTTGTTTCCACAGAGAGCCAGAGGCTATGGATTTGTTCCAGACTAAGATACATCAGGTTTGACCAGCCAAGACCACCTGAAAGGTCTCCGATGACACCATGGCCCAGATGATCCAACATCCAGAACCGTTTCAAGACAACTGGCTCACACGATACACCTTCATGGACTACTCCATAATCCTAAAGTATTCTTTGTTTCCCCAAAAGATACAGCGCCCCCCTCCAGCAGGAAGTAGTAAGAGAAGCTACGCCCAAATTCCCAAATATACCAAGCTGACTTTGGAGATGTGTAAAGGTTAAAACCTTCCTTTTTAAGAAAAGAAAAGGGGAAGTGCTATGGGATGGTCTGTATGTCAAATGTGTTGCTGATTGGTCAATGAATAAATCACTGATTGGCAGTGGCCAGGCAGGAAGTATAGGCGGGACTAACAGAGAGGAGAATTGAGAGAACAGGAAGCTGGGTGGGAGAGACACTGCCAGCCGCCATCAGGACAAGGAAGATGTAAAGTACCGGTAAGCCACAAGCCACATGGCAAGGTATAGATTAATAGAAATGGATTAATTTAAGCTGTAAGAACAGTTAACAAGAAGCCTGCCACGGCCATACAGTTTGTAATCAATATAAGTCTCTGTGTTTACTTGATCGGGTTTGAGCGGCTTGGGACTGGCGGGTGAGAGAGATTTGTCCTGACTGTGGGTCAGACAGGAAAACTCTAGCTACACATGATGAACTTTAGGAACAACTCAGTGAAAACTAAAGAAACCATGAGTGAAAGGCAGTCACAAAACTTTGGTAAGATAGCCACAATTTTGATGAATTGCTGTGGGGAACAGAAAATGTTGAAGCCACCAATTCCACATGCTGGGGGAAACAGACAACAGTCCAAGTGATGTGCATGAATGCAGAGACATATGCAAAACTAGCATAAGATTTTTAACAATGTGAGCCATCATAAAAAGTGAACACACACACACACACACACACACACACACACACACACACACACCACTCTTCTGAGTCAGCCACATCCCCACTCCGAACGATGACTGGCAGAAACAATAATAAAACCTATCCCCAAAGGCAGCTTTTCATTTTGCTTTTGATACTCTTGGAGGTACACAGAGCCTTTCTACCAAGGGAGCAGGTTGGGAATAGACTAATTAATTTGTCAATATCACGCTCTGTTAGCTTGCACACATTTGCAATTTTTCTGGCTTTTAAATTACACCCTGGGAATCAAAACTTTGAAAGCCCAGCTAAAATAAAGAAGGATGTGGAAGTCGCATGAAAAACAGTTATGATAGTGAGGCAAACTGTGGAGGTTCACAAAGGAATTGAGCTCTTCAACACCCCAAGACAATTAACCTTGCTGGTATATGCTAACCATGCTAAACAGTTCCAGGCTCCCTTCAGTCCCTTTGGACAGATAAAGTGTAACATTCACATTTAATGACAATTTTTTTCAACAACATTTCCTACATATTAATTAAATGCCTTTTTCTCCCCTTTGGCTAAAGTGTCCACTTCATTCAGAGGTTCTAATTCTTACAGTGAAACCGATACCATCTTCAGAAAATAATGTTCTGCTGTCAGTTGATATGGAGTGAATCGCATACCTGTAAATAGGGACTCAACAGCACCCAATACTTATAACAAGGAGTCATGGTATTCTTTTACATAGGAGCATTACTGTTCACATGTAGGAAGATGGGGTTGCTTGGGATGAAGGGAGAGCAACTTCACTCCAAGGCTATCCACATGGTGGCCCTGACTCTGCCACAGTTCCTGGGAACAGTTTGTGTAATGGTCCATGATCAAAAAGATTGTTCTAAAAGCCTTGTTTTCTTAATCAATGAGCCTCGAAACCAGAGTGACATTTACCATTAACCTTTTATTATATTTATATAATATTTAATATTTACTTTATTTTCTAGTTACTAATAGAATATATAATTCATTCATTTAATGAGCACTATCCCTAACTGGCCATTCTGGAAGCATCTTCCAGAGGACTGCTTCTGCATATCTAACTGGAATAAAGATAGTTAAGCCAGAATAGAGTCACATGAAATGACTCTTGAGCTCAGTGTGTGAAAAAAGCACTGTGCACTGGGACACATTAGATGACTTCTGTAATAGTCACTTTGTGTATGTGTAATACAGGAATGGTCACACCTATCTCAGAGGGCAGTTTCCGTTTCCCTCTTTGGGGGAGGGGTGTGGGTTACAGTGTCTCACTATGCAGCCCAGACTAGCCTCAGAATTTAAATGCCTTCCAAGCTGAAATGACACTGATGCTCTAAGCTTATGGAACACACTTTCAACAGTACTGACTCAGGAGAATTAAATGGCTTTTCTAATGTTCAAGCACAGACTGGATTAGAACTGTGATTTGCCTTTCATTATTCTGCTCCTAGAGCTACTCATTTATACTGTCCGTCTTCCTGTGAAAAGACACTTGAGAACTCTTCTAGTGTTCCTGATTATGAGGTCCAGAGGGCACCATGGTAGATGGATCATGCCAACAACATCTCACTCTATTCTAACACCATGAAAAGGACTTTTTTTTTTCATGTGTATACTTGTGTGTATATACGTGTGTGTATATACGTTTGTGTATATACATGTGTGTATGTTCAACTGAATAGATCCCCTTAATAAACATTCATCACACAGCATAAATTCCCCTCAGATCCTTGTGAACAAAGAAAGCTTATTTCCCATTTACCAGTCCATTGCTGTCTAAACCAAGAACATTTTTATAGCCAAGGTCTCTAAAACTTTGCTGAATTTCTGTTTGAAGTGGCTGGCATCAAGAACACAGAAATTCTGAATTAAAGATCAACACTCAAAATAAGGAGCTCCCTCTTCCAATCTCAACCCCATGTACAGTCTCCTGCAGGACGTTGGGACAAGCCAAGTGAGTGCATTAGCTTCCCTTTCTGATAAATCAAGGAAATGTGAGCAAAAAGGCCCGCAACCACAGTACACATCTATTACATAGCATGAACTGCTCATGTGAGGACTCCAAGATGGTACACTACATATGTGCGTGTACCTCCTTTCCAGTCATTAAATTATTAACTTGTCCTTTGTAATCATGTTAATAGGAAAGGAGTTGCTAATGTTGAACTGTTTGAAAGATATCCTTTGATTTAAAAACAATAGAAAAAGAATTATAAATATGAACAAAGAAGATTCTGCTGAGAAAGAGGGAATGATTTCTTCACTCACACAGTTCCTGATCTTTCAGAGGTATTTTTGTTTTTAGAGGTATATGAGTCCTGTGACTATCAGAGCCCTAGCATGTCTTTGCCACCATTTGGAAACAGCAGGTAGAAAGCGAAAGTGCTTCATTTTCAAAGGACAACTCACTTACCAGCTGAAAGCAAGCACCACACTTATCCCAGTGGGGAGAAACACAGGAGACAGCGGGCCTGTGGCTATACCAAATTCGATCCTTACCAGGTCAACACCTCCATCTCTCATGAGTACATGGCCTAAGGGAGTTTTATGGTGCCACAAGAAGGGACCAAAGCCCTCAACTAGCCTGCCCTGTTCTCCTGTCTCCCATAACCCTCTGCATCATTACACAGTGCGGCTGTTTTTTATTTGTTTTGTATCCCCACCTTTTTTTTTGAGTCTCAAAGAATAGTGAATAAGATACCAATAGACTTTTCTAAGACACCTTATAATGTCCTCTGGATATGCTGTGTTCTCCTCTGAAACCATTTCTCCAGGTACAAATGTGACTCCACTCTTTTATACAAATGAATATATAAAGTGGAATTTTAATAAGGCCAGAAAAGAGTCTGGCACCTGAACCCCTCAGCTGCAAGAAACATTCTACTTATCTGCTCTCTGGCTTCCTGAGTCCCTATTCCACATGGTTGTTAGGAGATATACATAATTTTTTGCAAATGTCAGAACAGAACATCTGATTTACCATAAATACTTATAAATGATCATTTCAGTCCTTCTTTCTCTGTCTGTCCTTCCTTAACACCCACAATATGTACAAACATAAACATATGTATACACATAGACACACACACACACACACACACACACACACACACACACACACACATATATACTGAAAGTAATTAGATGCGTCCAACAAATTATTTATATACTAAATATGTTTGCAAAAAAGCAAATACACATTCACCTTTCACTGGTTACTCTTTAAGTACTGTAAGCATGATATTTATCATTTTAAAAACCATGAGATTTCTTTGACTCAGATGTCTGCCCCAGCATAGGCATATATCTAAAAGAAATACAATGCTACCCTTAAGAAAGCAGGAAGTAGAAGACTTTATCAACAGCTTCCCATAGATACAGAAAATGGGAATGAAACCATGTATGACACAGAACAATCTATTTAATCATCTTCTTACCTGAGTCTTTTATGGCACAGACATCTACAACAATTTCTCCTTTCTTTCTGTTGGGCACCTGCCCAGTTCTCTGTCCACTTTGTCATACTGCCCTCTGCCCATCTGATCCCTGTTAGGATAGTGCAGCTTTCATCCAGCTTCCCCCATTGTACCATGTCTATCCCAACATATTCCATAAACTTATAGTGAAAGAAAAGATATTCCTTGAAAGGCAAAAGGCACACAGAAAAGCAAAGGCAGTTGTGGATAAGGCAATAAAAATAATCTGCTTGTAAATGCACCATATTTGCCTTAGAAACTAAGAAGTTATAACTGCATATCCATACCTTTTTAGTCTTAATCTCCTTGAATCTTAGATACAAATGTCAGGGCAACATTGGGATTGAAATAATGTCCTCAGATCCCCAGCACAGCAACAGTCTTCTTAACTTCCACACAGGTTCCAGGGCAGCTGTCCTCAAGCTCCTGAAGATGGAGGGTTCTTCTAAGTCTATAAAATCACAAGAGAAAGATTTAAATACTCAGAACAGAACCCAGCAGAGTGGCACAAAATCCAAGACCATTTGTTCTGGGAACTACACATAAGTCACTTAAATGACAATTAAGAATTCAGCATCGAGTGATTAAAAAAATCATCCCAAATAAAAACACGAATACATACCACATCATGAGCACCATCACCATAACCACTGCCACCTCTACCAGACCAGCACCATGAGCATGACTACAATCATGACCACTCCCACCAGTGCCACCACAACCAGCACCAGCACCAGCACCACAGTGACCACTGACATCACCACCACTACCAACAACAAGCAATTATAGTATTACACTTGAAAAGACTTTCCTAGTACACAACAATATCCATTTGTTCATTTATTTTAGGGAGAAAACAAGGATTGGATAGAAGTGATTTTCCTATGATGATTCATTCATTATGTTGGTTTGATCTGAATGAATGAATGAATGAATGAATGAATGAATACCTCTTTGGTAAAGAGTATGTACTTATCCCTGATCTATGACAAAGTGACACCAAAGGATAGAAGCTCATTACTTCATCTCTATATACTCTCCTCATTTGTATCTAAGATACCAAAGCTACCTGTTACCACTGGCCATTCCATCATCGGTACCTCCAGGATGTCATTTCAGCTTCTTTGTTTGCTACCCCAGTCCAGAGCCTCTTTTCTATGTAATCTCTCACTGGGTCCCCTCTTCTAGTTCTCTGACTTGAGTTGTCACATTCTCAGACCTGAGATTTGTCTCCAGTCCTAGATAGTCTCAAGTCCAAATTTCGTTGTTGGCCAATTATTTAATAACTCTACCTAAAATTCTAGTAGGACATACCCTATTAATTGGAGCAAACATAGGTCATGTGTCTATAGCTGCTATCACTTCTCTCCTGATATAAGTAAAGCTTATGTGTTCCCTCATTTATTCCTTCTTTGTCAATGGCAATGCCTTTTCTCCTTTCTTCCCCTCAACTCAACCTCTCTTAATTTCTGTCTCTGTGCTTCTCTCTGTCTCTGTGTCTCTGTCTCTGTCTCTGTCTCTCTCTGTCTCTCTCTGTCTCTCTCTGTCTCTCTGTCTCTCTGTCTCTCTGTCTCTCTCTCTCTCTCTCTCTCTCTCTCTCTCTCTCTCTCTCTCTCTCTCTCTCTCTCTCTCCTTCTAGATATACCCAGTATTCTGGTGGCCCTTTCTTCAGAAAAGATGCAGCTGCTGACTTTGTCTTACTGTCTTCTTTGCTACCATCCTAGTTCATAGCATCAAGGTGCAATTGGACCAAGGCTACCACTCCCATCAAGAATCCAAGTGAAAGAACAACACTTCCATTCTCAGATCCATACATTGCCATTACAAGTATTTAAATGGCCAAAATGGATCAGGAATGATGCAGTAGTGAATGCTGTCCTGTCAGCCTATTCTCCTCCTCATAATTTCTTCAGGCAGGCATGCAGTCCTCCAGCATGCCTCTGGATGCTTTTGAGCCTTTTGAACTTAACACTGACACTGCTTTTTAACTTGCTGCACTCTTTTTGTCGTCAAGAATGTGCAGCTTTGCTCTATTGTTTCCTCTCTGGTATGTCTCTTCTAACCCCCTTCTATAAAATCGTAAACTCTTACCACATCTCTCATTCCTCTTTCTGTTTAAACCCAGGGAAGTCTTTCTGTGATATGAAACATTTACTCATCTACTACTTGGTTTTACACACTGAAACATAGGTTCTATATGCGTAAGGACCACTGTTTCCATGTAGTATTTCAAATGTGTATTCTACAGCCTGCCTAGTGCAGTGGGTACTCAATCTATGAGTGAGTGAATTAACATTCTTTCTCAAGGCCATTCAGTCAGTGACTGTGCCTGATTTGAACCTAAAGCATCCCATCTCCAGCAATCCTGAAAATTAAGTGACAATAAGAACATGAGGAAACTGTTTTCAGAAGTCTATGATTGGCTAAGAAATAGGGTAAGATGCTTCAAAAAAACAAAAAAATCCTGGCTATGAATGCAGTCTGACATACTAGCAAATGACATCATATCCCAGGCTCAAAAGGTCAGACACCTCTGACAGACTTTTGGATGATCATACTACTAATAACTTCATCTGCTACCATGAAATTCTTTAGCTTCTGTAAGTATCAAGACATACAGACTTTTCTAAGATGTATTTTCTTCTGTAAAATGAATACTTTAAGATGTTTATACTAAAGAAATGACCACAGAGATAAATCATTCTCCATTGTGATAATGAAAGTCCTCAAGGGGTTTTGTTTCTTTTACCCATTGCAATTACATTACTCCACATGACATCTCATGACTTCATATACTTTCATTTCATTTCCCTCGATTGTCTGGATCCTGTTAATCTTCTGTGGAGTGGGACTACTTCTGTGGCTCACCATGATTCTGGGCAACTTTCTCCACACTACCCCCAGATGTATGATGTTACCCTGACTGCCCTCATATTAGGGGCAGTCAGCAGAACTACATAAAAGAAGTCAATTCTGCTTCTTCATTTCATGCCCTTTTGCTGATACCCAGTAATTTAGGTGTGATCTTCGTCATGGTTTTGTAGGAAGCTGATAATCAACTTGTCATAGTTTCAATTATTCCTGCATCCCAAAGCCAAGGGACACAACTTCAGAAAGGCAAACAATGCTGTAATTCAGAATAATGATACATAAGGAGTTATTGAAAAAATGTGCAGACTGCTTTGGGAACCTCAGTCTCAAGTCTATTCAAATGCATCCTTGTTTCCTTGTCCCCAACTTCGGTTAGGGATAGTCTATCTAAGGGTAAAAAACAAGATAAAAAATATATCACCTTCTTTTCCATCTTAGTAACACCTAAACTAAGAAATAGTTAAGATGTTTCAGACGAAAAATAAATGACAATCCATCCTAGATCAGGTAAGGACATGGTCCGAGGTGAATTCTCTCAACCTGTGTTCACTGGAAACATTTTGCTTGCTGTACATTTTATTAAAGGCTGAGAATACAGCAGGGCCCACTGAAGCCTTTCCTCATGACTTCGTGAAGCCTTCACTCTAATGCTATTCTTCATGCTTTGTAATAATCCAACTTCTCCCCAGATGTACTAAAATGTGACAAACTTCCCCCGAGACTGTTGATTCTCCTATGTGGTAATGAAGCATGTGTGGACTTAAGCATCTCAAATCCTGCTTGATAGAGAGGCAATTCTATATTTCCTTTCTCATTTGTCCATTTCATTCCTTGTTTTTCTTTTCCATACCTCCTCCCCCTCCTCTCCCGCACCTCCTCTCTTCTTAACTGAAGACAGATTCTTACTAAGTTGCCGAGGTTAGCTTTGAATTCACTCTGTAAGCCACAAATCGCTTGAACTTGTACTCCTCGTGCCTCGGTCTTTAAGGAGTTAGTATTGTAGGATTAGAAGTCTATGCAACCAGGTCAGGTTAATTAGTGATTTTCTTAGGAACTTGTTGATTTCATTAGTTTGTCCACAAGACCTCACCCAACACACACTTTTCTGAGTTTTTGTTAGGAAGCAAAAAGCATTCACCAATTACAAAAGCATACAAGATATCCCACAGTACAGTAAAAGTTTCAGAAATCAGCATCACTGAAATCCATAGAAACTCAAAGGGGTTAATCTTCTCTCATAATAAAATGGACTGAGAAGCACATGCTGGGAATAGTGGCAAAGTCATTAATGTCAAGAAAAACAACAACAAACTTCTCAATTGCCCATATTTTCCAGGATGGAAGACTAATCATAGAGGAAAGGGACATCTTGCCTTTTGGGCAGCCATGCATACTTCAGAGAACATGTCCCTCCTCAAGAGGTACCAATTAGTGGCTGCTCTGAGACAGTTGAAACTATACCTCTTAAATGGCTGGATTGCCTTTTAAAATTATGCCTTGTGAAGAGAAAACACACGCAAGCACAAAGCCACAGATCCTAAGGCACCCAGACACACTTCCCAAAGAGGCAGGTGTCCAGAGAAGTCAGGCCAGGAAAAGTAGGACACAAAGGAATAAGGTAATGATCAAGATCGTGGAATGGACATGTATTAGGGGAAAGGGCAAAATACAAATTGAAATTCAGAATTTTAAGTTGAAAACAATGCTGACCAAGTCTACTGGGACTACTATTCTAAAGATTCACTTCCCAAGAAGTGTGGTCTCAGGAATGCCCTATAAGCATACAGGGTTGTCTTTCTCATACTCACCTCCATGTTGCTAGTCATGCTTCAGAGTAAGTGTATATGTTTGACAATATTGCTACCATCTACACAAAAGAAGACTTAGGTTTGGAAACTTGAATGGTTTCTATTGCAGTCAAATAAATAAGCCACAACAGTGTCAGAATTCAAATTCTGAAATGGCACTGAGTCATTATTCATTAAGTACTCTGAGAATCAGTAGGCTGCCTCCAACATTTCATTTTTCATTAACTCTAGGTCTCATGTTCCAAAATGTCACAACTCCAATGAAAAGAATCAGTGCTCAGAAAGACAAATGACCTGCTTGATCTCAAGGATGGCAGAAAAGGCATCAAGGAAGGACAGGGTATGTGTTTTCCAAAGTTCTAGATGTCTCTCAGAATTGGGTACACCCCAAGTATTAATGACACCAAACCCTGCACAACATCACTAGGGGTAGTCTGATTACATCTATGTGTAAACTGACTATATCTTGTACCAGATGAGATTTCTGAAACAATGCTGGGTTTATCAGACATAAAACACTTCAGGAATCCAATTGCTCAACTATATCTGGGCTGGCCAGTTTAGGCTATGTACAATATGAAAGACCTTGCTTTCTCATTGGATAGGAACTGATAGGACATACCAAAAGGACATAGCTGATGGACTTTAAGGGTTATAAGCACAAGCTACTCTTGGGTGCCTGATCTCTTGCCAATAGAGTAGGACTTTATTTCTTACCTGGCTAACCTTTTAAATTGGGTGGTGAAATAAAAAGATTCTGGAAAAGGTGCTG